TGAAGATCCTTCTGTTAATTTAAAGAACTATATATTACTAGTAGAATTTTATTTTTCTTTAATGATTTAGTTATTAAGTTCTAATTTTTAGATTTTTAAAAGTATAAACCAATCTTTCGCAGTGATTAGAAAATAGATCTGCCTACTTCAATAATTTAGAATGTTTTAAATTTTTACCCAAATTTTAAAGCATCGATATAATTTCATTTAATGTTACTGGAGTTGCAATTTTGATATGATTTTTTTGTATCATATCTAACGAATTTAATGCTTTCATTAAGATATAAAAGCTATCAATTATTATAACTCTTGTTTGATCAATCTCCTTGATTATATCTAAGAATTTCTAAGTTATTCAAAATATTATTAAATTATTTATTTAAATAATAGTTTTTTGGATTTAAAATTAATTATTTTTGAAAAAAATTTTAAATAAGAGAGATGTTTTAGTTACTGACTTAGTCCTCTTGCCTATTATCTAATACATTATACTTTTAGTACTTAACTTATTCTTTCTCATAAAGATATTTATGATCAACTTATCATATCCCTCATCTAATATTTACACAAAAGCTAGTTAAAGCCAAATTTATTTTAATTTTTATATTTTTATGTTTTAATGAAAAAATCTATTTTTCTAACTTGTGGCTATAAAACCAAAAATTAGATGTATGGATATGCTTCAAATCTAATACTAGAATTCTCTTTATATTGCAAAATACATAGCATTCTTTTTTATTTGCAAAATTATTTTGTTTTAAAATTTAACTTCAAAATAATAGTAATATTATATTCTTTATAAAGCATATAATTTCAAATGGAATCCGTTCATCCTAAAATTTACAATAATCACTCGTAAACCCTTAAGTATTAATCTAATATAATAAATGCGTATGTTTCATCTAAATCATAAAATGTTTTAAATCTTTATTTGAAGTTTCATTCAATTAACAGCAAATTAATAATCTGATGATTTCATTCTTTTCTTTAAATACTACTTATTCATTATAACCTATTTATCCATTCATGGTCTTATTTAAAGAAAGAATCATTAATTAAAAGGTTGTTTTATAATAATATCCTTAAACTTCAAAATTAGTTATATACAAAATACTTAAGCTTGATCAAAATTACAATTTCTAATTAAGACGCATTAATAATCTAATTAAATTCATCAAATCTCAAAAAGTCAAAAGAAGAACCAAGCAACTTCTTTTATTCATATAATCTACACTACAATAACACAAAAATTATAAATCTAATTTGATGTTAATTACTATTCATTCTCATTTTGATACGAATTCTAAACTTACTTCTCTAAGTAAAATTAATTGATGAAACAAAGGAAGAGTTCATTTAAAATAGAACCATCTGAAAATGAGTATATCATAAAACACTATCCAGTAAAAGGATGATTTCATTGGATTGAAAAATATTAGTAGAAGAATTCAAATCTTTAATATTTATAAAAATGATAAAACTGGAGATAGAATTTGAGGAGTTCTATAAATTATTGAAGTTGAATCAGAAACTTAAATATCTTTTAGTATATAATTGAAGAATTTTAAAAGATTGAAGAAATAATTAAAATATAATCATCATGTTAGATCATATGAATTATTTAGTTATTGTAGTAGTGGAATTAAGGCCTTTGGATACTTGATTTAATGAAGTAAAACTTAAATAAGTTACTAAATTATTCTTGATTTTAGTGGTTTTAACGATATATTAAGTTTAATTCAAAGCTTGCTATTGATTAATAATTAATAAAGCCAATATTCTTAGAACTTCAATAAAAAGAGTTAGATTTATCAATTCATCTTAAGAAAAGTAAACATTTAAGTGTTCATTCAGAATAATCTTCTTAAATAATCTAATCTAAAATGAAGGAGTTATAATTAAAAAATTCACTTATAATTTAATATAGAATAATTCAATTAAACAAACTTAAGGATGTGGAGCAATTGCATTTAACAATGATAATTCAATTATATTAGCTGGTTGTAATAAATAGATCAAAGTATTCGAATTTAAACAAGAATAATTGAAACAAACTCAACTTCTAAGTGAACATTCTAGTAGTGTTGATACTTTGAATTTTATAAATTAATCGAGTTAGTTTATTAGGAAGTTCAGATAATTGTATCATAATACGGTAAATGAATGAAAACAATTAATGGATTTGTAAATAGAAATTGTAGGAACATATAAATAGTATTTATTGTTTAATATTGAACACTAATGAAGATATTATCATACCTAGTAGTGGAGATAATAGTATTAAATTTTGTATGAATTAGAAAGAATGGATATGTTCATAAACTATCACAGCTCATACAGGTTCTGTATATGGATTGAGTATGAATGATACATAGAATAGAGTGATTTCTTGTGGATTAGATTAGTTAATATTTACTCATAATAAGATTAAAAATGGAATATAATATAAAAGATAAATGTTGATAGTATTGTTGTAGAATATGTTTTACAATGATAAAATATTTACATTTTAACCTATTTCTAAAGAATAGATGCAAGTTTATAAAATGGGTATTATTTATAAATAGTTTTCAAAGGTAAAAGGTTTTATTGTTAGATCAGGATCTACAAGTGATTGTTACTTATTTCCTTCATAATATATAAAGTAAAAATGTATGGTTGTGAATAAGAAGGGCTATAATGTTAATTTGATAAGGAAGTAGGAAAATGAAGATTTTATAATTGAATAATCTATCGATTTCGAAACATTTAATTTATTTGGATCAATTAGTGAAGATGGAGAATATTTGGTTACATGGGATGATAAATAAAAAGAAATTTAAATTAGAAAATATTAAGAAAAATGATTAATTTTTAAAATTATTAGAAATTATTATAATAGTATTCATCCTATTTTATTATTTTTCTCATTTGAAATTTTATTTTTGTCAGATTTCGGCTTTTTTGTATATCTGTCAATTGACGGTGTCATAGAAAGTTAAAGTCATCTAAAGTAGTTGATTTGCAAAATTAGTGAGTAAGTAAAATAGCATAGCCAAATATATTAAAACCTCTTCAGTTATATAAAAATCTCAAATTTAATTCTAACATTATTCTTAGATCATGATCATGAAAATAACCTTAAGTTTTAAAAATTGACATTTATTAATGAGTCATTTAAGAATTTTCCAGAAAATTTGATAGATTATGTTCCATTTTAATTTGAATTTAATAATTAATTCTCTTTTTATTTACAAATACAAATGAGAGCTATGAGGATCTTTAATTAATAGGGTTCGAAATCAACTATTAGGTTATTTTTAAAGGATAAAATTTAAAAATTAGATCAGCATTGTAATTTTTTATAAAATTACTTCATACCATGTATATGTTTATTTTCGAATTTGGTTTTAATCTTAATTCTGAATAAACATTGTTCTTAGATCTGAATAGGGTTATAGTAAATAAATTTTGGGGTTATGTAGAACAGATATTATATTTTAGTTCTTCTGGGTTATTCAAGTTTATGCTCTTATTAAGTTAGAATAATGAACTTTTACGTTTTAAAAATTCAAAAATAAGATTAAACTATTATTTAATATGTTGAAGACAGAAAAATAAGAATTATTAAGTATTTTTCTTTAGATTGGTTTGAAAGTTTAAATTATTTATCAAATATAACTTTATAATTAAGTTTCTTTAAATTTTTCTTATTGTTTGGTTTTTTGAAAAGTAGGATAAATTTAAAATTTAATGCCTTTCAAATCGTATAAAAATTTTATAAAACTTTTTAATTTCATTAGATAATAATTCATGTTCCCTTATATTATCTTTCATAATAGCCCTTTGATATATAATCCCAAGTAACGTTTCTTTTATTAAGTCTTAAGTTAATGAATCTCTTAATTATTTGATTTTAATTATTTATCATTTTGTCTAAAATTGATATTAATTAATGAATTCACTTCTTAAAATTAGTTCTACTTTTGCAATTAGATAATAGTTAAGAAAAATCCTATTATAATTCTCAATCTACGGCTACTCTCTTAAAGTAATTGGACTAATTTATAAGAAAATTCATCAATATTTTTATAAGAATTCTAATCACAATATTTCCTACTTTTCTTTCAAATGCTTCTATTTTAAACTACTTATTTTTTTAATTATTAATAATTGACTATATATTTAATCAAAGGTAGATAAATCATAGAATTTATACTTCAAGCTTTCCAATATTTTAAAAAGAAATTATAAGAACTCCTTTTATCAAATAGTTACATTTTAATGAAAGACCTCTAATTTATAATCATAACTTGCTTGCCTGGATTGCTTTATTGTGTTATATCTTAGTAAAAAAGAAGACTTGAATCAAATTGATTCCTAAATCTATTGTTAAAATATATTTATTGTAATATGTTTTAAAATATTATAATTATTAATAGATTATATTCATTTAATTAAAAATATTTAATAAAATATATTAATAAAAAACTTATAATATTAAATTATACATATATTAGAATAATTTTAATTATTAGTAGTTGTTCTTGGGATCAAAAAAGAAATTAAATGCAGAAAAGTATAATTCAGAGATAAATTGATATTTCGTGATAAAAAGGAAAAGATTTTGACAATTGCAGTCAGCTTATTTAACAATTAGTCTTCCTATCCTATATTTTATAAGCGAAAGTATTAAAACGAGCATTATTAAAAAGTTTTTGATTCTATTTCTAACATTATCAAATAAATTTAGAATGGATTGAATAATATAGAAAAAATTTTTTCTTTAAATTAAATTAATTACAGCATATATTATAAGTTCCATAAAAAAATTAATCCTTTATTTATATAAATTCATTAAATTCTAAGAAGTATTTGAAGATTTTAAACTTCAAAATTAACAAGGCTGCTTGATTTTATTATAAACATCTATTTTTAGAGCAAAAAGACTCAAAGGATGTATTTTCCTTAATAATTTAGAGTAGTGAAAGCATTTTTAAGTATTTATGATTCAAAATTTTGCATTTAAATATTTTCAATAAAGTAATTTCAATGAAAAATTTAATTCTTTATTTTAAAATTTAATTTTGAAAATGGATTGATATGTTTTGAATTTTTTGCTTAAAGTTCCTTATAATTGGAAATATTTTAATTCTTTAGTACTTTAAAGAATAAATTATAAATTTTTCTTTCTGCTGTGCACTTTAAATAAATGAGTTAAAAAGTATATTAAATATATCTTAGTTAGAAAAGTAAATAAAATTCCTTTTTCTTTATAAGATCCATAAAATTTGAATTTATATAGGTTATAATGATGTCTTGAAACTACAATAATTTGCTATAGTATTTCAACCAGGAAATTAGCATGATTCTAGATTTAGATGATTGGTCTTAAAACCTTATAGAAAAATAGTTTCTCATTTGTTAACAAAATTATTTATTAGGAAGTTCAATTATTTAGTAAAATAATTTTTGGTTATTTAGAAAGAAAACTTTGAAAAATTTAAACTTTATCTCCAGTTACGAGAACAATTAATAATTGAAAATGGAAATTTACAAGAATTATTATAATTTTTCGAATTTGCAATTGTAATGAAAATTATAAGAATATAATTTGTGGTGATTTTGAATTAAATTTTTTTTAATTAATATTCAAATTTTTTAATTACTTCGTTAAAATTTTACTTATGGTTTTAATAATAAGTGTTAAGAATGAAAGTTTATTGTGAACATGACATCAATAAAAATTTATTATTAATTATTTAATGGCAAAAATAATTTCTTGGCATCACACAAAAATAAGATGGTTGGTATTAGTTCTCATTGGTGTTTACCCTTTTGTAGTGTTTCTTATAGGAGAATTTCCTGCACTATTAGGAGAATAGATTAAATAACACTTTAAGGTATCCTAAGCTGAAGTCAACTATTTATTGTCTATAAGGTCATTTCCAAATATGATTATGTCATTATTAGGTGGTTTGATAATAGACTCATTTGGAGTAGGACGTTCGTATGTATTTTTTAGTGCAATAATCATACTTGGTTAATGTAAATACTTTTAAATAATCATTCTAGTTTTATGCTTCATCTCAGCTATAAGTTAAAATTTCTTAATAATGATGATTGGTAGATTAATATTTGGATTGTTTGATGATAGTGGATTCGTTGCAGAAAGTTTCTATATCAATAAATGGTTCAAAGGAAAAGAAAATTCTCTGGCATTTGGGTGCTTTTTTTAAATTAATTTTTAGTATTGATACCGCTCTATGTAGAATTGGTTCAATAACTGGAGCAATAATTTATCCATATATTTACATGTCCTAAGATAATGATTTAACTTCATGTTTATTGACATGCTTGTACATTACTATCTTCAGTTTTACAATAATCTTTATTTTAACTCGAATAGACAAATGTAGTGATCTTAGAGATAATACTACAGATTTAAAATTGGATAGTGTTGATCTCAGATAAATCAAGCATTTTAGTTTAGAATTTTATGTTGCTTTAGTGAGTTGTTCAACAACTTACGCTATCTTCTTTATTTTTGGTTATAATTGTGTCGAAATGTTTAAGCTTTTGTAAGTATAAAATATTATATAGGTATAAAATGAATCAAAGCACTGCCAATATCTTATATAGCATTCCTCATTATATATCTGCTGTTTTGACTCCGTTAGTAGGTCATTATGTTGATAAAAAAGGTAGAAATATAGAAATTTTATTATTTGGAAGTTTTTGTTAAGTATTAGCGGCATTTATTTTTTATCTAATGCCAGAATGTGATTCATATTGCTTAGTATTTCCAGTTTTTGGAAGCATATTAATAGGAATCTTTTTTGGTACTTACTATGCAGTAATGTGGCCTCATATTCCTTTGATTGTTCCATCAAATATGGTAGGAACAGGATTTGGATTAACATATGCTTGTATTAATATAGGTATTAATAAAATATATATTAGAAATAACTATTTTTTCAATTGTAGTTTCTAATCTATTATCAATAGAAAATTTTGATAATTACTCAAAAATGAATGAATTACTCTTAGCTTTATCTTTTTTAGGTTTTGTACCTTTATTGTATTTATATAAATATTATCGTAAATAATACTATAAAGGAAATTACATACAAACTGAAAAAGCGGAATAGCTTATAGAATTGATTGTTAGAAATAAATCAAATTGAATAATTTTAATGTGTTATAATAATATCTTTGAGTAATCTTTTTGCATATATAGCTAATCAGAAATATATAAATCAATTGAAACACAACTAATTATTTATGTCGTAGCTAAATATTAGTCCAGATATTTTTAATTTTCTTTTATAATATATGTTTGATATTAGAATGTTGTTTTGAATTGTTAAATCAAATTTTAATAACACTTGTATAAAAATTCTCTAGGATGTTTTATGATGAGGCTCTTCTTTTTTAAATAATTTTTCAGATTTATTATAATTTTTATTTCTTTTATTTTAAAATTATTATTATTATATAACAAATTTTAGATAAAAACAAGGCGTCAATTCAATTAAAACAAAAATTGGATTGGATAGAATGATTTTTATGAGTGAAATTAATAACTTATATATAGCTGATAATAAAAAAATGAAAAAAGGTTGTGTGAGCATATTTAATTTTTGAATTCCATAGAAAACATTGAAATATACATTTCTAAGAAAATTAGGGGAATATATCAATTTATTTTGATTGATATGGTGTATTTGTGCATTTGAATAAATTTAGATATTACTTTGAGCAAATGAATCGGCCTTCAATAAGTTTAAAAATTTGAATGCTATAGTTTATAACAAATCTTCTTTCTATTGATTCCAATTAAATAAAATTATAGAAAAATTTTATAAAATAATACAATTACAAAATAATTTGTGTTGAAATAAATTTATTTTCTTAAGCCTTTTTCTAAAATCTAAATAAAACTAAAATCTTAGTATTTCAGGCTCAGAAAAGAAATTTAGATTATGATCAGATTAGAACTTAAGGTATTTTGAGAACAAATTGTTCAAAAAATTTCAAAGTGATTCAATCAATTTAATTAGTCTCAAATCTATCAAATCTATGAATTTTATATTTGCTACAAATACAATTATATAAATTTATCAGCAATTTATTTTGATAGCTTCTATTTCTTTCAATTGATAACTCTGAAAAATGAAAATTAAATTGTTGTTTTTTTAAACTTAAATTAACAACAAAATGAATGATGATGAAGATAAAAAATGAGATTAAGTTCTGAATATTAAAAAAAAATTTTAATTATATTCCAGAAACAATTAATTAAGTTAAAAATATTTAATAAAATTTTTTTATAATAAGACTTTATGCTATTCGTTAATATTTCATATAAATGAAATTCCTCAATCACCAACATAATGTTTTAATGCAATAAACTAAATCTAAAATTGAATTAGAGAGACCAATATAACAAAACTTTTGAATTTTAAATTCCTTAGAACATTTATTATATTTGTGTTCTAATTTTATTAAAAATAACTTATACATCAATATTTAGGGGCACTTCTCAAAAATAAAGTCTTAACAAAGTGTCTTAGCTATTTATTGTTTTTTTTTAAACATCAAAAATGATATTTTGCTATATTCTTTCTTTTTTTGAGCAAAGAAGACCCAATTGATACAACTTGAATTGGCAACATAGATGATGTAGTTTAATTTGAATTTTGGAGCTTTTATATGACAAAAATTACTCCTATATCATATTTATTTATGAATCAACCTCAAGTATAATTATTGTTTTTAATGAAGAATATTCATGTAAACGAATGTTATAATGGATAATTATGAGAAGTATGAGATATATTATGATCCTAAAAATTATGAGGAAGTTTGGAAAATGAGCCTTTTCACTCTTTAAGCTTATTAAAAGTTAATATTTGAAACAAAGGATGGTACGAAATATCCAAGCTCAGTTTAATTTATTGTTGGAGGAACAGGGATTGTAATTATATATTTAAATATTTTAACTAAATGAAAAATATAAATTAGGGGTATTTAGAGGAAGATTATCCAAAATTTGGTATTAGTACAGAAAACCAGATGATATTTATGAAACTATATATTAGTAAAGAATGAATGAATAATAACAAACATTTAATCTCATTCCAGATGTATTAAATTTTGATAGTTAAAATAATTATGAATATAGATTTATCAAACCAAAATAATTGCGAATATGATGTTATATCTCATCATTATTGTATGCCATATTAGAAATAGATAAATTAAGATTTACCTTATAAAAAATATTAACAAATTGGCCATTTATTTCATTTGAATATGGATTAGAATAAAATTAACCATAATTGATAGATAAAGTTATTTATTCTTGTATTCTTTGTTAAAATGAATATTATGCTTAAAAAATTAACAGGATCCTCAAAATGTAAAATGTTTGAGTTGGTTTGAATAAAATAAATATTCCAAAGATAATTGGAAAAATGAAATTCGTGCTTTGATAAATCATTTATAGATAAAGAAAAGATTCTTCATAGTTTAACAATTAAAAAACATTTAATTAATTCTATATTGAGTATGGGACGAGTTAAAATGAATTAGATTATGAAATACTTTGCCATTCATGCTAAGAAGGATATGAATTACATGAAAATTAATGTATTGAAATATGTCCTCCATCATATTTAGAATATAAATTATAATATCTTTGTTTAATATCCATTAGGATAAAAATATAGAAATAAAAGGTTATTGTATCTCTTGTCCAAATTAATGTCGATTATGTTATAAAAGAGAATAAGAACAAGTACATTATATAAATCCATTATTCAACAATTTTCTAGTTATTCCTATTACTATTTTTTTCAAAAGAAGGTATTTTTGATAATCTATTTGGTGCATATATTGATTGTAAATATGGACCATGTTAACTATCGATTATCATAAACTTAGAGTTAATTTATGATAATGAAAAATACAATCAATAATTATGATTATCATTTTATAAATTAGAGGTGTGCAACTTGAACTTTACAGAAACGGATATATTATCAAAACTTTCAAAATTATAATACTTCTATTAAATTTAAAAAATAATTCACAATTCTTAATTTCAAAAGAGTTCATATCGAAGGATTTAATATTGAAATTGAGTTTCTAGCGCTTTTGATTAAATCATTGAATTAATTGACATCATCTATCAATTGCATTAAGAAGAGATTAGTTTTTATACTCAAACTCTTGGTGATTTGTGTATAAAGTAAATGAGTATCAATTAGAAAGACATATACTATGTAAAAGAAGTTTTTTTGATTATAAATTATCAAACTTTCAGTTGGTAAATTTTGAATTTTCTAATTGTAATTAATATAATTCTTATGTGTTTACTCTTATTCTTATTTCTTTATTAAGGGGAATATAGGCCTTTTCTATTTTTTGCTCTGGAATGTTGAATTTGCATTATAGTTTTAAAATAATAAACACTTATCACTTATTATGGATAAGATAAATTTATAATAATTACTTAACTTATAATACCTAATAGAGCAATAGGAATAATCAATCTTAATATAATTGGAAATAAATTTTAATAAATTTTTTAGAAATTTTTCTTTGATAACATAGAAGTAGCTTTAGTCTATTTATTAGCAAGTTCAATTAATATTGAAGATTTAACCATTTAAAAAACTAATGGAATCCAAGATTTGGTTATAGTAGATTCTGATGAAGTGAAATTAAATAAGGTTAATATATCTTAACATGTTGAATATTTATTTAAAGGAGTTTTTGAATAATTCGATTTGTTAAGACTATAATTAATGAATACTTTTATCTTTCAATTAGCATTATAAAGTACCTAAAATTAAAATAGCTTAATTAGTAATATAAAAGGCTTAAACTGTAAATTATCCAATTTTAAAAATTAAGAATTCAATTTTAACAAAAATACAATCGAATACTCCGAATTATTATTTACTTTAAATTTGATCTTGCTTAAAGATAAAATTAAATAAGCATTAATATTATCAATATTATTTAAAGGAGATAATTAAATAGATATTATAATGAAGAGAATATTATATTATATTTAAATCTAATTAATTAACACGAACTTCTTTTCAAAATTATTTGCTAGAATAGTATAGTATTATGTACATCTAAACATTAAATTTAACAAATGAAAATTCTATTTTTACTTAAACAACTTATTTAATTATTCAATTTTGCAACCTTATTTGTATGAGGGTTTTGAAGATAATCAGGATATATTTATAGAATAAGTATTAGAATGTTTACAATTATAGTATTAACAGGAAATATTAAGATAATTTGCCAACAATTAATGATAAGAAATTAATATCAAATTATAAGATTTAATTTTAAGTGATGTATTCTCATTGAAAGGATCACTAATTTAAGCTGAATAAATTAATCAGAATAGTAAATTATGGTTAATCATTTGGAAGTCAAAATTACAATATAAGGTTACTTAAAATTTCTAGAAAATTTATTGTTAAAACAGATATTCTAAATTAATTCACAAACACTTAATTATTAACATAATTATAATTTTAAAAAAGCTTAATTGAAATAGCATGTGAAAATTTTATAAGTTTAAAAATTATAGTTATTATGTCATTAAATTATGAATCTTTTATTACTATATCATAGACATAAAGCATATAATTTGTAAATACAAGAATCAAAAACTCTACTATTATTTATTCAATGA